ATTTTAGTTAACTAAAATAAACAAAAACTATAATCAAATGAAAAAACTATAACTAACTAAAACTGTATAATCTTTTTACAAAACTAACTAAAATTATAGATAGAATATCCTTAATTTTAGTGTTTGTCAATTTTTTTTTCTTTTTTTCAATTGAGTAGTTTCACATTTGTTGTGGGCAGCTTACCTCATGGTCCCAGATGGTGACAACTATTATCATTGTTCTAAAATAATCGCCCAAGTCCTTAGTTGGCAAAACTGAGTTACGCAATTATTTTAGGAAGGTGTTGCTATAGTGGACTGCTTTAACTAGTGACCAAATAGCTGTTGTTAGTTAACTCACAGGAACGTCACAAGCTGGAGGATGCAGTGAGAAATATGTTTATTCAATCTGTAAGAAAAACTAATGCTAGATCTAATAAAAACTAAACTAAAACTAAGCATTAAAATGCAATAATAATAAATAAAAACTAGCAGATCCACTGTAAAAACTAATTGCAACTAACTGAATTAAAAGTTTAAAAAAGTCACAACAAAATAAAACTAAACTATAATGAAAAATCCAAAACTATTATAACCATGATTCAGTGTCTGAATTACCCTTTCAAGTTTTGCAGAAGCCTGTTAATCATTCAAATCAGATGCCTTGGAGCAGAAAAAAAACCAAGTTAAAACATGCATAATAATGGCCCTCCAGAGACAGGATTGCCCACCCCTGGTTTAACAGGTGTGGGCACAGGAACTCTGCATACAATACTCCCAAAGCATAAACTCCTTGTGACTAAATCAAAGGTTAGACCTACATCAGTCCACAATGTCTATGAATGAAAACAAGTTTTTGTGAATTGTTAAGGGTTTTTTCTTTTCTTTGTTTTTCTCTTTTTGTTTCCTTTCCTTTAGAGAACAAGGCAGGCCGGATGAAGACTGTCCAGGGACCGCTTCTGGCACGCGAGCCATTTCTTTGTTTGACCAGATTCTACATTACAGAAATAAATAACAGTTTCAACTTCTAGATATAGTTTTTACATTTRGAGTGGTGTTGAAGAAACCATACCCAATTTAACTAATTGAAAACTTATAAGATAAAACATGATAGTTGGACCTGAGGGTCACCGCTGTATTTCATACCGCTATGCTAAAGCTAGCATAACAGTAAACGAACTAAGTGATTTATTGCATAACATTTAATACATTCAATAACTTAAATGCACATATTGTTGCGTGGTTGGTGTCTACCTTTTATACTCCACACCAGCATCCCTTTGACAAACTAGCATACACGTTACCTGATTATACAAAACGGTACCTGCACCAGTAGCTAGCCTGTTAGCTTCCACCACTGACGCAAGTTAGCTTTATTAGCTAAATGACAACAAACCCGGAGAGGTGGGCGGTTTAACAGCATGCATAAAAGATACAGTGTAAGAAAAAGCTTCGTGAACTGTCTCACCTTATTATACCGACACCTTGTGCATCGACATGTGCAGTCATAGCTCGTACTACCAGCTGCTCCGCTAGCTGCGGGTGCTGCTGCTGCGGGTCTGTGCCTGGATGAGGCGATCAGCTGATCTGACAGAAACTTGGAGAAAAAGTCCCAACATCCTGTGCTGCTGCTGAAAACTTCTGCGCATTTCTCATGTCTTTTGATAACTCTTCCAATTAGGCATTGCCAGTGTAACATGTGCAGTCATTATTCAATTGATCATTTCTCTAATGTGTGTTATCATGAGTAAATAATTCAAAAGTTGTTCTTAATGTAAAAAACCAACACTGTTGCAGCTTTTTGTGTCACAAACTTAATAATCTATCCATAATCCAAACGAGCATTTAAGGTTAAAATATAAACATAAGTTTTATGCATTAAATATTCATATATGAAAAAGAAAACTTCTGGCAAAGTTTTATTAAGTGCAGTGTACACTCGTCACAACATTTCTTAAGACAGCTACATTTGTGCATAGATAAGACACAAAGAAAGTGAATTGCAAAGACAAGAAAAAAAACAAACAAAAAACAGAAGACAGACATTTTGCTGGATTCAAAAACAAACGTACAAAGAATAAAAAGCAGCTTCCAGTTCAACGCAAGTGTGGCAATCTTCATTCAGGATTTCAGTCAACCAGCGTGACTTGTGGCACAGCTCATCTGACATTCATAATTTCATACAAATGTCCATTCATCAGTCATACTCACAAAGTGGCAGCTAAATCACGAGTTGCACCCTTCAGGGGTGTGGAGTTGAGACACGGCAGATCTTTGAGACTGGGTCAAGAGAAAATCCAAATACCTCTCAGCAAAACTTTGTACCAACGGAACAGGATTTTTGGTGGATTGATGAAAGTAAGAATAACTTCAAGTGCTTAAAAAAAGAAATATACTATTTATTTGTTTAGCATTAAGAACTGTATAACTAAGTTTTCTGAATACGTATAAATGCCAGAGGTCTTGACAGTATTTATGCTGAGGTACAGGATAGTCCAAATGTTGTCCATTAGGTATGGACATACCCACCGTCTCATCTGCCAGCATCCACTCCTCTCAACTCATTCTCCCAGGCACATCAGACTCTCCAGGTGTAAGGCACTTCTCATTTCTCACAACCTTTCACACGCACATACGCGCTAGCTCTTTCTCTCTCGCGCCCTATCTCACTCTCTCGTTCATCAAGAGGTGTTCATTTTTCAGTCGTGCTATCTGGGATCCTTGCGTACAGCGTCGACCGGCCGTGATCTTCCAGTCAGGCGTTGCACGTTGAACCCCGAGCAGAGGGTGGGTTTCAGCCGGGGGTCGAGCCGGACAGAGCCTCCTGCATCTTGGCACGAGCCGAGGCGTAGCGCTGCACTATCTGCTTGACGTGCTCCTCTTCTTCACGGTGCAAGATGAGCAGGAAGTTCTTCAGCTCGGGCATGGAGAAGGCATGCCACTGTAAATGTGGAGAGAAAGGGGTGATTTAGTGATTCCACATTGCGCATAATTCACGGGATACAATATGTAAAATATTATTTGAATGTCAGACTCACATTGACTTCACCAGTTTCATTTTCTTTGATCAAAAAACTGAGGACTTTTTCATTTGGCCCAGAACACAGACGAAGGCGGAGGGGGCGCTCTTCATCAGAGAGCTTGCGAACATAAACTAAAAACAGGAGGTAGACAAAAAGGATGCATTTAATCAAAAGTAATTCCCGAAATTGGAAAAACAGATCCATCACTTTGAGTAAAAAAAAMMAAAAAACAATACCTTGGTCATGGCGCTCGCTGCGCTGAAACAGTGCAAACTTGCCGGGATTGTCCACCACGGTGAACTTCTTCAACAAAGCCTCGATGACCTCACGAGAAGTAGTGCGGGAGCTTATGTGCAAATGCTTGGACGCATCCTTTGGCAGGTAGAAGGAAGTGCGACGCTTCACCCCGCTGGCCCTCCTCCCTCCGACGTCGTGGCCTCCTTTCTTTGGAGCCGGAACCGACACGGGCCGCGCCAGCTTGAACTGCACCTTRACGAAGCCAGTGTAGGACCCATCTTTGTTCTGCACGAGAGAATAAAAAACACTGCATTTTTTTAACAAAAGGAAGATTTTTATGAAGAGAGGTTTCAGTTTGTAGTGAATAATCGCTCACCATGTTCATGAACAGATTACTGTTGATCTGAGCATTGTACTCCTTGACCTTCTGTAAAACTTCTGCTGTCGTCAGCTCCTCTTTTACTGAATCGGTCTGTTCATCCTGGAAGAAAGTAAAATGCACAGTTGAAGCTCCAGATGGCAGTATTTCCCAGCAATTCACAAAATAAAGAGTAGTAAAACACAGTTATATTTTTAGTCTCCAGTTGTTATGACACATCTTATTAAAATAATTATAAATATTAGGGATAGTTGACGTTTGCACTGAAAACAAATGCAGAAAAAATAGACTTTCGAATGAGATGTTGTGTAAAACAATAATACTGTTTTTGTTTTCCACAGTTTTTATTTTTAATAAGTTAGTTACTGTGAAACCATACTCTGTTTTTTTTTAACAGTAAACACCGGTTGCATCAGACTAAACTTCCGGACAACGCAGCAAACGGAACCGTGATGAAGTCAGCTCTGTCCAATCATGTTCAACCGCTCCGACTTCCCACAGGAGGAGGACCGAAAGGAGGAGGAGGCAGGATGTGAGGGGGGTGGCGGCACAACCAGCAGCTGTTTGCAATGACTGCAACCAACAGCACCGCATTCCTGAGTTTGGTAT